CACTTTTTATTGCTCTGATTATCGATCCTACATAAAGTTGTATCGAGAGCATGTCAATGTAGCCTGTTCACGTTAGACACTGAACGTCAGTTTTTCTTTTTGCTTGTTAAATGGATTGCTTTGAGAGTGAAGGACTAAAAATATAGAGGAACATCAATCTTCTTATCTCTATTTAACTTGATAAAGGGTTCGATTAAAGAAACACTGCTTGAGCCTCCAAGTTTTTTCGAGTCAACGTTGATATCGTTCAGGAATGCTAAGGTGTTGATACCACGGTTGCTTTCAAAGAACCGATACCTTTCAATGTACAAATAATTATCTGAATTATTAGACGTTTTACGGCATGGACATTATGTAATTCGATAACGCCATGTGGAATGCACGAATGTCCCTCGCGATACGTCATTTAGCTGCTAGTCGGTAACACGCTGAAATTTCGAGAAACATTGAAACTTCAGTCTTCACGTTTGACTTGAGCAGTTCAAAAGGCCAAAGGTACTAATGACGGGTATGTGGCTGGCTCAAACAGAGAGAATTATACAAATGGACTCAAACGCGAAAAAACGAGGAGAAACGACAATAAAGTTTAATTTTCAAGTTTCTCATATCATATATTGATATAAATTTTGACTTACGAATTAATCAGACATTAAAACTTGATCTGTCGATATACTGTAAAAGTGAAAAGTATAGTACTGCGGTTGTCAATTGATCGACCATCTTCATTAATTATCCTAGAATGCATCGTTTAATCTTGAATATTTATTACATCATTTTTCGTTATGATTTCATCTTAAAGAAAAAAGCAGACCCACTAAAGGCTCAGGGAAAAGAAAAGGTAACAAATCATTGTTGCAAAACCTTGTACCTGTCCATAGCCTTGATTTATCACAATAATATTAAATGAGTGATTCGTCGGAGAAGTACAAGAAAAGTTTATCAGTGCCAGAAGTAGGAGAGAATCATTCATAAAAAAATAACTTTGAAAATGTCCGTAAGAAGCAGTAAGAAATAGAACGTTACGAACACCTCTTGTGAAGTATACTGAAAAAATGTACGAAAGCGACGGGTGGTCTTTGAAAGTCTACATAAAAGATAAATCGCTACGATTAAACATAAACATCACTAAAGTCTGGAACGAAAAACTTAGACCTAGAGGTGTATATATACATTAGATATAGTCGAGTATCGGCAAATGCAGAAAGTCCAAGAGGGTAAGGGGCTTGCGAAGCGCAGGTTTATCGAGGGCGCTACGGTTTCCTCGAAAAGCGGGTAAGTATCTAGCCGACACGGGTACGAACACGAACGCACACGCCACATCGAAAACCGAGCGCACCACGGCACTTCGTCCCGACTTCTCGACTCGCGCACTACGCCAAGTTCGTTCTGTACGGATCATCGCGCTCGATTAGTCGCTGTGCCACAACCCCAAATATCATCAAGGATCACCACGTAGTAGATTGGATTGTGACACTTGAATATAATGGAAGGGAGTCGAGAACTGATCGTTGTGTTAACTTAGGAATGTCTGGTTACATGTCAAAGATTGTCACCAGTGTTGAAATCAAAAGTAACACATGTGACAAAGATCATGTATTATTAAGACATAAGTAAACGCAAGTGCTGTGAAGTATGATAGTGAAACGGGACAGACTATAGAAAACGAAAGTATAATGGATTATATTTCGAGAACACGGAGCTTATTTATTATGCTTCATACGTTTATATCGACGATGCTGTTGCATTCAACTTGTTGGAAAGAATAATCGTGAGGTAAGTAATATGTTTCTTACGCTGTCAGAGAAGAATAAATCTTCAGTTACTACTTGGGAAAATTTTTCATGAAAAATGTGGCGATGAAGTTTCAATAGATATCGACGTTAACTTGAATTTTTGCAGTTGATCGGTAGTTAGATATGTACGTGTGTATATGTACTCTTACCTATTCATTGAAGGAAAACGTACTAGTGAAGTTAGCATATATAATCCAAAGAAGTATTAAGGAAAATTGTTTAGTCAGTGTATAGTTAAATATTAAAAAATTGTATCCAAGTATCTCTAAGAAGAATTTTTTAGAAGTTTACGATCCCACTTTAACATTACTCGAAGGGAGAGAAATTAAAGTGCATTTTTGAATAATAAAAGCTACGAACTACTCCGAATTTGAGGAACCAAAAATCTGTGATTAAAATTAATATCTTCAAAGTTGTAAATTACAATAACTAACGCGAGTAAGCACGTGAATTAACATTGATCCTTGAACTCGGTTTGGCTGGCATAAATTCGTGGTAATCCGTGAATACGATATTCAAACAGGCATCTTTTAACGATTAAATGTCCAATAGATGCGTAAATAAAGTTAGGAAAGCGCAGAAATGCGCATAATTTTTCACTAATTTCTTACTTCAAAAATTACCTAATCTCCACCTCGAGTAATGCCGAAACGAAATGCTTGTAACAATATTAGATTGTCATCTACATAAAGATATAAATATATATCGCTATATATACAAAACAAAATACAGGTAATTCAAACAAATTGATAATTAAATCAAAAATTAAAAGAAGCTTTACTTTTCATGACAATAGCTGCCTGCCAAAGCATAACGATGACGTCTACTTAGAGACCAAATATCTATGGAGAGACAGTACAACAGCATTGCCGATTTACAAAAGTGGCTCTATTAATTATCTTAATTACATTCGTTGCTACGTTAATTAATTGGCCAAAAGACATCTTTGCCACAATAAATGATTACAGAACAGAATAGATCCAATTGAGCCATGATGACCTAATACACTAGACAGCATCCATAGAATACAGCGGTGTATTTACGGTTCATAGAAATTCTGAGAGTTGTACATAGTCAAACAGATTAACAAAACGTATTTCCTTTGAGGTTCAAATAATTTAGTACTTGCAAGTCAGTGAGCATACAGATAGTCACGGAACAGATCAAAATAATTATACACATCGTTTATTTCGCAAACTGATGCGATGTAGAAAATTTCTTTGAACGAATCAGGTGATGTTTCAATTTTCTCTAGGTAAACTTTCTTCTTCAAAATAACTTTCAGTATAGTCGCTTAGGACGAAGGTTGGAACTCTCGTTTGTCACTGAATATAAATGGTAATGAGTCTAGAAAAGTGAAATTTACCATAGGTGCTTCTCCTTACACTTTATGTAAGGGCCATTTTATTAGCTGAACGATAACCCTCCCTATCTTATCCTTGGGACTCTAATGGAAAACGTCGATCAGAGTATGACATGCACTCAGTGTCATGACGATCTGTCGATTTATGAAGAATAAAAAGTGGTGTGATCGTTTGGTATAAAAAGAAATTCTTCGTGATAATCATTATCCTTTTGACATCTCTGACACTAAGTGAACGCAATATCTGATGCTTTGCTCGACTACATAACTCAAGAGACATGTTATTTACATTGCAGATTAATTAAGTCACTCGACATTATCCAAGATCTCCTCCTCTAAGATGCATTGATCTATTCGATACGACGTCTTTATAATATCTAGAGCCTGATAGACACTCAATGGTTTATTTTCGTTATAAAAGAGACCTCGTTGTTCATAGTCTTGTCTCTGGAATGCCTGTTCTTAGATGTCAATAATCGTTTGGTATACTCATACCATAAGATATATCTTATAGTACGATATCAATATATATTAGATATCGTATTAAAATTTCTTGCGCACCTACGTGAAAGATTAAACGGAGGTATCCACTATCCACTTGATTGCATGTTAACGGAGGAGAAACGAGGAGATAATTCAAGTAGAAAGACGTAAACGGTGAAATTAGATGAACCGTCGTAAATCCATTTTATCATGCAGTGCGTGCTCGCGAAATCCATTACGTGTATCAGTGTGGATGGGCTAAAAACGCGAAGGGTATGAATTCGTGCGTCGTACAGTGTGAAATTGTCGGTGCGAATTGAGTGTATAGACTCGGCGTAATTGTAGCCGGGAGAAGAGGGCCCATGATATTAGCGGGCACGTGTTAACACGGTAAGCAGCTTCGGTTACTTTCATCACAGCTTATTTTCAGTTCTCTTCACAAAACAAGCTAGAAGACTAAGGATTGGCCCACTCGTGTAAATCCATGTTTAAAATTACAGAACACTCTGGCGTCTCTCAGTAACATCCAATTCAGTCGAGCAATTCTTTTTTTTTTTTATTATTGCATTTTTAGTACCTTTAGTTAGGGACTATTATGCTCAGTCGAGCAATTCTAAGATGCTTCGGTCATTACGATACTTTAGACTCTAAGTGACATATTGTATTCTGTCAAAATAACCTGATTTTCCTTAAATCAGCAATTCAGTTACTTTTACAGTTAAAATCATGGCTATTGATTTTTCTCATCAATTTTCAATGATTCATCGAAATTCATCTTTTTGTCTGTTGTATCCCACTAAAGAACTTCCTAATCAATAGCTAATATCTATGATAAGCTTTGAAGGGGCGATATGGTAGTTACATTAAATTTCTGTGAGGCACTTATGCGTGGTGAATAAAATATTGTACTTTTATATTAATGTGAAATTTTCGACACGCTTACAGAAACGGAATCTTATTACAATAAAAAATTTAAATTAAAAAAGCCGAAACAAGGGATATGAAGGCGAAATGTTCAGAGAGAGGGGAACTTCTACGAGTAACTGTCTACCTACCTCAATTGAAGATAAGCTGAATGTGATGAGCTTGCAAGTTCGGCAAGAGCTTGACTCTGTATACCGTAGTATTACCCTCTCTCATAAATATTCATTTTAATGCCTGCCAAGGCGAACAAACAAGTGTTGTTTCATTTTCCTCTCTTTTACATTTTTCCCTATTCGCTGTCATATGTTATTCGAAAGATCAAATAAAATTATTTACGTGTTCAGAGACATTGTTTTTTATTTGCATCGAAATAATAAACTTTATAACCATATTTTATTCTTCACCATTCAATGGAACTTTTAATAATAAGATTTCGCATGAAAATTCCTCTTCGACGTTTCTTACGTAATACCTTCGATGCTACGACAATTTGTAGAACGTGGTTCACGTAGGACTTGCAATAATTCATTGCATTTGATTGGCAAATAAATTCAATTAAAAGCACTCGTTGGGTTTATGATTTTAATTAATCTTATCCAATCTGACTGCTCTTAATTAATCTAAGTAATAAGTATTATCCAAGCTATAGTTATCTGATAAATTGGCTATTACCAGCAGGTAAACAGCTCGTTTGCATGAAATATAATATAAGTATGTACCTAATAAAATTATATTTAAAAAAATAATTAGATTTTATACACGAAATACGCAGATTCGTCAGGTATAATCATTTTATTTTAGATTATAAGCTAAAACTGGATTACTGTAATATTCATGTTATTTTAACCGCAATGACTTATCTCGTTTTCATGAAGTTACCAGATTCAGCGTTTTACATGAACGTTTGTTATTACTCATAAGGATGCTTGACCCAAAAGTTTTGCCTTGCTAAAGCCAAAAGGGTGTGTGCTTACTGAAAATTCTATGTTTGTACGACCTTCTACTTCTAGTGTCGCGATTTGTACAAAATTTAAAAGTTCCCCACGTAATTTATTACGTCAAGGTACATATCGAAAAAAAAAGAAAAAACTTACCAGACAATCATTTTGATTTTAATAATTAATGGCTTCTACATTGTTATCGGAGTACCGAAAGAAGCTCGGCATAAGTATTATTACAATTGCATCAAAAACAACACGAACAAGATATCGGATTCGAAAAAGGGACGTAAGCTCTTGTGAAAAAGACAATAGAATAGACGCGTAAAGTCTACTGTTATAGAAACGAGAAACAATAAATTATAGAACGAGAAATAGCACGTTTATGTGCGTTAAGCGTGTGAAAGAAGCAGGAGGTCGTAAAACGTTATGTTTTCGCTAGTTACCTGCGCGCACATTTGTAATTTACGATAACACGTTTGAGCGAGCTTACGTATCTAATACCTTTTGCTATTAGTGAAATTACTCAGTAGGTAACAAAACGTAATAATTTTCACGCGTCTTGTTGACTCTTCATCAGGGGTCAAATTAAGCTGATTAAAATATATAGACGAAGATTCGTTGCATACTTTTGCATGAATTATCATACTAGTATCCTATCAATGTGGCTGAATGCAACTTATGGATGGTAATAAAACGCATTCGTACAAACAGAGCTATTTAAAAAAACTGTGGATAATTCATTTCATATTGCCAGTAGAAATGAAACTCGAATCAGCCAGTAGCAGTGAGACTTGGTGAAACACATACATATGTCATATCAGCCCTTCTATCGAAGTGAATTCTAATACGTTCTCGCTTTACGAAATACTTCCAAATTCTGTTTGCCAACGGTCCCCATTGATTGTCACAACTTCACGTACCATACATTCGGTAACACCCTAGCATATTCGTCCCTTCGATCGATCGGATTGGATGAAGGCACTCCTTTTTTTTTCTATCTCACTGTATGTCAGCCATGGGAAATCATTCCATCCAGTCACGATCCTACATTCAATTTTACATCTCGGCTAAGCATTTTTGTCAGCAATTTTTCAACGATATTCCTGCATTTTTTAATTTACAGGGATATAAATATGATTTATGGATTATTCAATTTTTATTCGAGCGCGACAACTTTGAGATGTTTCTTTACACAGGGGAATGTGAATGTAATTCTTTATTATTTATATACCGTAAAACTGTTACTGAGATACTGTGTACGCGATATAGTCGTTGCGGCACGTAAAAAATTACAAGTTTCACATAAAACGGACGGTTTTAGAATTGTTGTTAACTAAAGTAGTGTAAGTAAAGTATCGATTCAATAATCACTCAGATAGCCTTTACAAATTAAGCTTTCATCCACTCAATCACAGCGGGTAGAGAAATTTCGATTATTTCGAAGTCGCGAAACTTCGGGAAGCAATTTAATAAATGAAAAAGATATTAGCGGAAGGTAAATAAAGTTTGGAGAGGTTTGCTCAGTTGTTTCCGAAAATTCCCTTAGGTAGCCTTATTAGTCTTGTCTTGTCGTGAGCAATATTTCGGTAATTTGAAAACATCAACAGATATTCGTTGATTACTCCTTTGCCACCGTATAAAATAACAGTTAGGATGTTTTCAAGTATAGCAGGGACAGAACATTTGGCAAATAGTCTCCTGTAAAGGAATTCAATAAGGTTTCGAAATTCAATTTAGGGAATGGAAAATCCCTGCCTTCTATAGCTCGAAGAATAACGTTTCGGTAAAGCTACAAGGAAAATCTTCTTTATTTATCAACGTAAGTAAGAAATGTATAAGTTTAAATATTATTTCAGATCTCCAGTGGCAGGATGAACTTCTCGTGGTCTCCGGAAGATGGAGGACCTGATGCATTATGGCCAGTAATGCTCAACTCTACGTACTGGAGTGGAAGCAACGCAAATTTATATGACGATTATGGTAGGTTGCTTAAATAATTAATGTTATTAATATACATATCAACCTTGGGTTGTATAAGCTCTAAAAATTCTATTAATTTCAAGCTAATTTACTAACCAACTTATTACCGTGTCGATTAACTGTTACCGGGGAAAATTCCGCGAAGCAGAGATATCACAAAGCCTCGCAGTTTTATGCAGGAATAAATTTGACCGAATGATATATGGCTACTATAGTGAAATATTGAAACACTAAATTGTGTGATAATCGTCACAAAATGTTACGTCGAAGTGAGAAAGTATTCAAAGACGATTCACTTTTTTTCACACGAAGACAATTTAGGAATGTTAATGGGAAAGTCTCGAGCTCTTTTCCCCCGTGTTTCGCCCTTGCGAGGGACATTCGACCTTTTCAAGGTTCAGAAAGAATATTTGCAAAGTACGTTAACAGCAACTTCCTGTAATTACTACACTCGTCAATTAACATAGTTGAAACGGCGTAATCTCAGTTGAACGAAAGATAATCGTAACGATATTTTTTGTCATCGGAACGTAAAAAGAAATATCATTGATCTTTATGTTTTTAGTACAACACAACTTAATATCACGACAGGTCATTAACACGCGAACCTAAAATCATGGTAGAACCGTCATTTGTCTCGATTAAAATATATCCCTTATAAAACATTTTATTGTTAGAAGTCAATTATTATCCGATCGATTCACAAGCTCAGGCTGGCATATCAATTGCTATAGGCAGATCTCATTAACGCGATATACGAAGACATACTAAAAACTGATTTGATTTTAATGATTTGGCAGTACTGTCAGTCGAAAGTTAAAAGAAAAAAAAAGGGTGGACAATATCTAAGATAATATCTTCTTGCTGCAACGCTAAACTTCATCTCATAAGTAAAACAATTTTTTAATTCGACATTAGACGATCTCTACGACGTACCAGCTGGTCTTATAGCTTTACTGAGTGTCTGCTACGGAAGCATCTCCGTTCTTGCTGTTCTTGGTAACTCCTTGGTGATATGGATAGTTGCCACTTCACGTAGAATGCAAAGTGTCACCAACTGCTTCATCGCCAATCTGGCTCTGGCTGATATCGTCATTGGACTCTTTGCTATTCCATTTCAAGTAAGTTTCCACTTGTCGAATCCGAACAACCAAATTATACTCGCGCCTTTTAACAGTTTCAGGCTGCCCTTCTGCAGAGGTGGAATCTACCGCATTTCATGTGTGCTTTCTGTCCGTTCGTCCAAATTCTCTCTGTTAATGTGTCCGTGTTCACTCTGACTGCCATCGCGGTTGATCGTCATCGCGCAATTCTGAAGCCTCTCAGGTACGTATTTCTCATTCTTCCTGATTAAACCTCCTTTTGTCAGCAATTCATCTTCATGTTTTATTTGTCGATTTGTGAAATCCACCATCGATCAGAGCTTACGTCGTACGAGATCGACAGTTTAGTTGCTCGGGGTTATTACGAGACATCTTTCATCATCACCTAGATGAAAGAATGTTATCGGTCATGTTTGACATTTATGACACAATCATTCTTACTGATTAAATTAAATTCCACAGGAAACTGTGAGTGTTTCGATATGCATAAACGAGTTCTACCTAGTTTATTGACATTCTGTCCGTGCTTCCCGTAAGTGCAAGAGAGATGGACTCATTGGTATATCCCTATGTAAGAGAAAGACGGACACAATGCCCGACTTAAATTAGAGGTTTACTATTTATTTTGCCAAAATCACTGAATTGTCTGCTATATATCGAACTGTCTATCTCGCTTGCTTTTATATGTGAAATGGCAATAAAAATAATTAATTTATGATCAAAAAGTACTCTATGACAGTTCTTAAGTTTTGCAGACACGATTCGGATTAATATAGCTATAGGAGTGTTTATATACCTACTGCATATAACAAGTATAGAATTCATAACCATTTTGCCTGAAACACCCGGAATTCAGTTTGTGTATTCAAAACATTTCAAGAACAAAATTTACTACCTTAGAGTGTGTCGTATACTCTTAGTTGTAAACTCTGTATATATATTACGCAAGTTAATGTGAGAATATTCTACGAACGTAATTTCTTATTGAAGAAAGTTATTACCTTATTACAGCTCCCATCTTGAATATTATGATCACGACGTATTCCATTCTAACAATGATGGCCAAGTTCTATGTCGTTACCCGTTTTCCGAGTTCTTATTGTGTTTTTCAGTGCCAGGCCGAGCAAGTTACGAGCAAAGATTGTCATTGCTGGTATTTGGTTGCTAGGCGGTGCTTTGGCTGCTCCGATGGCAGTAGCTCTCAGAGTAGTAATGGTACCGGAAAGTGCAGGCGGTGAGTGAAATCCAATTTGAACTGTGAGTAGATATAGTAATCACGGAAGAAGCTCACTTGAATTGCCCGAAAAATATTTATTCAATTGAAAAATCATTTATTCATAATCATTCGAATTACAATTAACCCACTCTTTTAGAATTAGACTTTCTCGACTTCCAATAACAAAACTTTCCATTCTTCAAGACTTTACGTGTACCTCATTACCCGTGAGTGGTTAGTTAGATAACCAACCACGGGTAAACAGAGAGAAATGCAAACATCTATTGGACACACTGCCAATCATCCGACCGAAATTTGCATCGATCGCCCCCTTAGCATTGTGGATTCCATTTACATCCCTATGGTTTACCCCTCGTAACGGGATACTGACAGGCTTCGTGGTAACGAGTAGAAAGTTTCAAGATATCTTTAACATTATCCAGGATATATAAATCCGATAAGAATCCCTTTCTGCTTTAAGAAAGATATTTATCAAACGTTAACAGGATCAAATATACGTGAGATAGCGAGGATGAACAACAAATTTAATTAAGTCTCGCCATACATTTCTCACAATGAAAAACATCGTTCCAACGTTCTTTTTTACTTGTACTCTCAAATTTTATTCTATTACTTAGTACCAAGCATAAAGCCACGATTCGAGATGAATGAAAGTAGGAGGAATCGCTTGGGTTTCAAGTTAATTTCGACGGCTCGAGTTACTCTTATTCCGAAGTACTTTCCTTCACTGGGTTTTCATCAAAAAAAGAAACTTCTTCCACCTTCGATGCTTTTCTCAATTGTCTGAGAAAGGTCATTGTGTTACGTAAAATTTTAAAAATTTCCTATAGGTAGTGATCATTTTTAAAATGATGAACAAGGGAAACATTAATTGGATGTTTTTATCAAATTAATTTGACCGACGGTTTTCGGTAGCTTGCAAGTTTCAAATACTGATTTTATCTAACTAATCTTCTGATATTTTAAAATTTTTAAGAAAAAGTTTCAGGACGAAATATAATATGGCACTAAATTTGCCTAGTAATTAACAATTCGATGTCTTGATTAACAAACACATCGTCAGAACATAATTATAGTTTCCTAACTTAGAACAAAGTTATGATAATGCTCTATAATCAATGAGGACCAAAAGCTTGATACATTATAATTACTGATGCATCAACACATTAGTTATTTTGGTACCCATTTGATGAATGGATGAAAAAAAGCAAGACAAGCTTCATATGAGTCTATTTGATGTATAATAAATTTCCAATTACAGTTGGCAGACTACGCCTCAAGCCATTCTGCTGTAATGAGAATATGTCAGAGAAATCGATGCTCACGTATAGAGCTTTACTGGGTTTTCTACAGTACCTGACACCTTTAACAGTAATATCCTGCGTGTATGCGAGAATGGCTCTGAAACTTTGGGGTAGCCGAGCGCCAGGAAACGCTCAAGACTCTCGTGACGCCAATCTTATGAAAAACAAGAAGAAGGTAAATTATACTAGTTTTTCTGTAGGTAAGAGGAAAACGGGGGAATAAACGGGTGATAATAGTAAAAAAAAAGTAATACGATCAATTGACGTAGAGATACTGGAAAATGGAACATTTGAAGAAAATGAAAATTGTTTTTGTACTGTCGCTCATAGCTGTCGTGTTCAAGCAACTTTTTATATCCTAGTGTCTTGATAATATTGCCGTAACTGCCCTTTATGACTTCCACCCTCGCTTCATTCAGGAATAACGCATTTAATTTCATCTTGACAATTTCTCGAGTTACTTCGTCTGAAGAGCGTGGAACGATGAAGATAATAACATTTCCTCAGATTCCATTGTAACGGTAGTTACTTATCTCGTAACGTATGCGAATTATTTTTTCGAATAATGCATTGTAATGAAATTCTTTAGTGTTAACCATTTGCCTTTAACCCCTTGGGCGACTAGGAATGTCTCACTGTTTGTGCCCGAAACCACAGAAAAAGAAAAGTAGTTGAATTTCCATGAAATATACGTCATCAACGTTTTTTGGGCCGCTTATTACTAATTTGAGGTAAAATTGTAGAAATGAACAATCTGAAAAGTGGTATTTTTATCTGTGTTGTTCCTTCGGAGACTTTTTCGTTTACATTTTCTCCTCCTATTTGTAGCATGAAAAATAAAGATTTTCTACTCTGATATTTTGATTGGATTAAGTTTAATTATACTGAAAGAAGTAATTTAATTTTTTAACAGGTTATCAAAATGCTGGTGATAGTGGTGGCACTCTTTGCGATTTGCTGGCTACCATTGCAAACGTACAACGTGCTGCAGTATTCGTATCCAGAAATAAATGAGTAAGGCATTGAGATACCTATATACAAACCCCAAAAAACTTGTAGGCTTACATAACAGGACATAAACATGACTAAACCTCCTTAATATAAATCATTTTATCGATTTTTGCGTTCGATTGTCAAATTAATAACAGTATTGCCTAGAAGGATAACAAGCTACTTACTGTGGATATGCTAACATTCTATACAGATATTCAAAAAAAATGTGGAATTTTGGATACATTAAAACTTTTAGACATGAATTATACAGACTTGGTGGGAGAACAAGTCAACAAAATTATCCGGTGTGTTAATTTCTCAAGAGTTAAATAAATGATTTCAGATACCGCTATATCAATATAATATGGTTTTGTTGCGACTGGCTGGCTATGTCAAACAGCTGTTACAATCCATTCATATACGGCATATATAATGTAAGCAAAAAAGAACACTACAGAGTAATAAAAATAAGATCAAAAACATAGCCATATGATGGTAAACAAAATTTCAATATTTTATTCATTAATTCTAGGAGAAATTCAAACGAGAATTTCAACAGAGGTGTCCATTCAAATCGCGAAAATGGTCATCCAGTCCTCCTACAGACAGTTTCGACACGGATAAGACACAAAGTACCAGAGCGTCTATAAGGTAAATGATTCATTTTCATGCCGCCATAATTTTTTACCTATTCAATACCGTACATGAAGTGCGCCCATTTTTATACATTTTGAATAAAAATATTATCATAAACTAAATTTAAACCTTTTTTATCCTAGGTATGATTGGCGAAGACCAGCCTTAGGAGGATGTCCAGCCACTGCATCTTTTTATCCTGGTGTATCTGTACGTGGTCCATCCCTAGGACGTCTTGAAAGTAATACTAGAGCTTTAAATGCAACGGGCTGTTTCATTCGGAATGGACACTCTAACTACCAGTCAAACAAAAAACATGCAGAAAGATCTGCTGAACTTTATGTCTTCCCTTCAGGGAGACACAAGCATTCGCTTAACCTTGTCTCTGAGGAATTATGTCTGTAAATTCTTATTTCTTCTCTTTGATCCTCTGCTGGGCATAAGGCTTCAGAAGTCTCAACGTAAAAGTGCTAAAACACTTAGAACCAGCAAAGGATTGAGCTTTGCGAATAGCTATGCATACTTTGAGTTTAACCCGCGATTCCCTCAATACAATTTATTGAATTACAGTTCAATAAAACATAGCAGAACAGTCGAACAATTGGATTCTCAATAACTTTGTCGACACGGCTGATGCTAATTGTTTGACACACAAATTTGTCAGTTAAACGGTACATAAGAGAAATTAATGTAGCTATATTCCATGTATGGTTCAATTCAATTTTGTACCTATATTCAACTTGATTTAATCGAATCTCATAACTTTTCAAAGTTCATGACTGTGCAATTTGAAAATATAAGATGTTACAAGATGGCATTGACCTCAAATTATATTAAGATAAACCTACGTGGAAGAATGTTTCAAGGTTGACAATGACCTTTAGTGAGCCTAAAGAAAATATTAACAATAGATGCGAGAATAAATTCGATCTCATATGAGAATCATGGCGATTTCTGTGACCGAATAACTTTCCGCGCTGTACGTCATCAGCTGTGGTGTCACTGTTATGGGCGACTCGATTTTGGGAGACGAAGGAAATCGAAAATTATAATTCTTATCTGTAATAATTACATACAAATTATAACTATAATCTGATCAAATCGTTTCACTGCAGTACAGGTTTATATGCTTGACAATATTCGGGACTCCGTTGAAACACCAACAAAAATTGCATCTTTGCGCTCGGAAACCTTAATAACATTTGAATTATTTTCTTTATCAATCTATTACTTTTAAATTATTTTTTCGACCGAATAAGTTCCATGAATACTGCTCATCCTGTAATTTTGTATCAAGTTCCTATTAAGTTTTTTTATTATTAATAATATATAGAACAAAATTGTGGAGGACTTGATTTGTTTGAATTGGTATTTTACAAATCGGATAAGTCACTTGAGTAGACATTTATACGCTGTTCTACGTCTTTGTTCTAGTCAATATATAAGTGCCCTATGGTCATTGGTAGTGTAAATAAAATATACTGTGTATATTAGTCCAGAACAATAATGCTGTCCATTTGAATTTTTTCCTTAGCAATTCAATACTCATTTCTTTAATTAGAACTAGTTGTACAAGTAAAAGAATGTTTTCGATAAGTATCAGTCAGATACTTTTGCATAAGCTAACCAGGAGACTGTCATATTTTCCTATTTAACATCCATACTACTGCGATTGGATTTTACCTTATAAAAACTGTGCATCCTGTTTACATGAGTTTACACTCGTATAGTATAGCACTGCAATAAAGAATAATATGTGAGAGTTCAAGGATAAATCATATGGAATATTTAAAAATGGAAAAAATAATGGTGATTTATTTAAAATAAAATATCAAGGATGTATTGAATACAATTATGAAATTCTTAGAATAGTAATCTCTGTCTTAGTCATAATTTGTATTATTGCGACGTTCTATATCACGTATCTCTAGAATATCCGTTTTTAGATGTAACTTCATGATCTCTCTCCAGATATCCATCCTGTGTTCTTCACTGTCAATGCCCAGTCGTAACAAAATATTCTCATTTATTCTGAGTAATGCTCTTCCTGTTATATCATGCTAACACATAATAAAGTATATCAATTAAAACTGTTTACAGGCCATAATCACTTTGTTTATCTTATCCACTGTAACGAGCAAAGCTTACATATAAAAATTTTTCATGATAAAGCTGATAGTAGTCACTACAATGCCTTCGTAACCATTTTTGAACATCAAGTACATTCCACAGATACACTGGACGAGGTCTGGCAGTTTTATTCTAAAGCATAACACAATAATGTAAGAGAGAAAACATGTATTATATATACTTCCTAACAAATTAAATGAGTGTAAAAGCATTCTCACCTTGGGTCTATTATATGGGCTAACAACTTCCTCAACCATTGCTATTCTCCACTCCCAGCAATATATACAAGGACAAAACTAAGGAATATTTGTTATACCGCTCTTATCATAATTAACGAACATGGTATAACCGTTATATAGAAATAATGTTTACACTACATACATACAACTACTCTGAACTCATTGCACTTTGCAGAAGTACGAGGAATGAAAAATAAACTCAAACGCGTGGTTGCAAAACAATCATCTTCATGTTCCTTTTTAGCTTCAACCCTCATACAGGGCCAAGTGCCAGAAAACAAACATTATACAACTTCTGTACCTGTGTGAAATTAGCGGAACTACTTTGAGTTTCATAATATAAAAAATTGTAATCGTTTGTTTGTAATCTGTAGGTGATTGTTAGATTAATTATAACGTTTGTTAGACATTATTTTGTTTGTTATTGTGAAATAAAAATTTTGATGTGAGGATTCTAAGATTGTTCGATCTTTCGATTGAGGATGAAATGAAGGATTCAAGTGGGATCCAGGAATCACGTCCGTCTTCTCAAACGTTACACGATTGGTTCATTTCCTCTAAAATCTGAATTTGGAAACGTAGTCGTTGGACATATGTACCTGCCACATGTATGTTCGAAAATGAACCGAGGCTACGATGCTCGCAGCACTCTCGGCTGATCTTCGAACGCAGCTGTCGTAGGTGTGTTCGTAAACCTATCATATTGTTTATGTTTGTTACGAAAGGTGGCTGGCGACCCAATCATAAAATTATGCAGTATGGAGGGTGGGGATCATAAACGAGATATTAAGTTTTTGTGTTTTTCAGCTAAATAGACAACCAACAAAAGTCTTAATTAATTAATTCGTGTCCAACAAACGATTGCTCATCCATTAGTACCCAATTGAATCCAAAAAAATAAAAAGAAATTGTCCGCTGTCTTCACATCGAAATTCTTATTTCCTAATAACAAAAAAAATAATCCCTAATAACGTTATAATTAATCTAATAATCTTCTAGAAACGGCAAACAAACGATTAACATTTTTTTAAATATGAAATGCAAAGTAGTTCTGCTAACTTCACAGAGGTGATGCTCTTTTGGTAGCACTGAAATTCAACACTATTGGTAGGACTGTCCTAATATCGCCAAATTACATACTTCAGATTTATCGTCGTCTCCTCGCAAGCTCGCAAATCCGCGAAAATGTCCAAGAGGAACTCCAGCAACGATTACAGAAAAGGTTTTATTCATTTTATTAGTAATAAAACTGTTCAGTTCTGGTAAATCGTTATTTCATTCTGTCGTCATATTCCTATTTCATGCTATACATACTTTAATATGTTTATTGATCTTACTCGACATACACAATATATTAATTATTTGAAAAAATCGCTAGAATCCAAAGAAATACACGTGAGAAATTAATGAACTAGTGTCGTTGTGATTTATCATGGGTCTGCAACCATTTGGAAAGTATCGAGCGCTTTAGGGAACGTATGTAACCATTCTATAGCCATAACAAAATTCTCACGATTGTATATTGTATAACGTTTATGGAAATCATTAAATTTCGTATTGGTATTAACTAGTTAAGATTTTAATGTTATATTTTATTTTAATATAAATGTTGTATATTACAAAGATAATATTAATTTTGGAGCACACAATGTAATTGTTACATTGTTACCTGATGATAGCTCGATCACTTTTAACACCTGAGAGAATCCTAAGAACTTCATATTCTGAAAAGAGTACAGCTTAAAAATTTCTGGTTATTAAGTCAGTGGCGTTTAACTTGATCTGAACTTTGCCAGTGTTTGACGTTGTCAGGGTCAAGTGCCTACAGAGCGGAGGATGACAGGGAAGACGAAAGAGTTCGGGAAAGATCACCATTGAGATCAGATGAACGTCGAGATTCCAGCAGTCTCTCTCATCTAGAAGCCAAGAAGCAAAAACTGGCCTTTGGCTTTGGAAAAAAACCTATCAGTGCTGAAACCAAAAAGGGGATACAAATCAAATTAGGATCAGCATCGGTTAGTCTTCTATGCTTGAAAATAGAGACATTTACTAAATATAATCCCACAGGCTTAAAGATACTTTCAAAATAGTATAATTATAAAAAAAATATTTTGTATAATTATTAAAAAAGAAAAATTTTTCTATTTTAGAAGCCTATTTCAAAACCAGCAGCTGTTCAGAAGCCAACAGTAGCATCAGTTTTTAATGCAGATGATGATGATGAGGAACCTGAAGAAATGCCAGCAGAAGCTAGAATGAGAATGAGGAATATTGGGAGAGAAACTCCAACTTCTGCAGGTCCAAATTCATTTGGCAAGACGAAACAGGGCTTTTGTGACTCAAAGAAAATCTTTGAGAAGACATTGAAGAAAGCCATGGAAGAGGCTAATAAATGATTCCCTGATAAACGACGTACCTCACGGCTGTTAAATATATATTAATTTAATATTTACAATAATTAGAGTGAGTCCTGATCGTTTTTTAATCGATCATAATTCATCGCGATTATAATTAAGGAGTTAAACTTTTCAAACTGGAAATACGAGCGTCCATTTGTTTCCAATCTATCTTTCTTCTCTTTTTCCGTATCTCTAATACGATTATAAAAAAAAAATTCTGCAATGTTAATAGCAGTCTCTAAGACATTGTCGAATTAGATTGCATAGGTAAAGTCTCATACAAAAAGAAAAGAGAACAACCAGTAGGCCTGCTCTTTACAATGTCTGATAATTGTATTTATGACATTACTAAGCCATTGTATTTAACACATATATCATAAAGCAAAAATTAATTTTAATAGGTGAAAAGAACTTGATAGAGTTTGTTAATCGCGACGTTTGTGTAAAACTTCTATCGCCTGTGATCATGACGAAATACAGAAACGGTTTTATGAATTACGGATTTTTGCATATAGACATTCATTGGAATCTTGAATTAAATATCATTAACAAATCACTTAAAAATAAACGAATGATAGTTAAAAAGTAATAAGGTTTATAATATTATGACCCTAGTTGATATGGAGAAGGTAACAAAGTGCAAATAATGAAATATATTGTCCAAAAAATCATTAGTTTTATGTGGTTTTATTTTGAATTAAAATATACACATAGTGCAAATCACTTCCTGTTCTGCTGTCCCTGGCGCAAGTCCTGCAAAAAACATTGGACAATTAATATAAATTTAATTATTCACTTTATGATCATTAAACAAATCAAAATTACCCTAGGGAAACTGCGGACTGGAGGTGTTCTGATACGACGATCAGCCTTAGACCTGTTACGCACTACTTTGGAGTGAATAGCACATGAGACACAGTAGTGCAATTTTGCATAGAGCTTGGGAAGCTGATAGGATGTGTATACACTAGCCTCAGTGATATCACGGACAGCAGCAGCTTCCACAATATTACGGATGACGAACTTCTTAATCGCCTTATCCTTTGGAACGCATCTAGCGCAATTGGTGCAGCGTACAGGGTTTACATGGCCACGGCCATGCTTGGCACGTCCCCCGTTTCTTCGTTTACAAGTCTAAAATTATAATAATATTTATGTATTAAAACAACAATTAACAACAGAGAAAATACCCAATCATAGTAATCAGCCGTCAAATGTTTCAGGTTAACAGTGCCTATACAGTTCTTAGTATGAGAATACTATATTATTAAGTAATGCATAGTTCACTTATACTTCAATTTAAAAAAGGACAACGATATCACAACTCTCAAGCAGTTATACAGTTGATTACTGAAGGAAATGTTAAATTTTTGCTGTAGGCAATCATAGTATATCGAGCCACATGGTTTGGTCTTGTATACATCAGTCATATTATAATAAATATCGCCACTTTAAACCGCACAATTTCTATAAAACGATAAATATAATATTGCTTTTCACTTTGAGTACTAAATTCACTCGAACATTATTCGCAAAACTACTACATTCTTTAAAATTATTATGAAAGGCAAAATTTAGTTACCATTTTCTTGCGTTAGCCAACAAAGAGAAGCCGGAAGCCTGTAATGGCTGCCAAACTGGGGAAACATAACTGCAGTAGTCAAACGATCTATTTACTGATTGTTGCCCTGAAAACTTTGTAAAAATATTGCATTTCCTGTCGAATAATTTTCCAGAATTACTTCAATACAATATTCATAAATTACCCATTATGAAGAATAATATTGATTTACATTGCATTAAAAACCACATCTAGGGAAAATATGCAATAAGAAAGCAACACTGTCTAGTAATAATGTGACGTCATCAAATCAAAATTTGTAACTAGATCATATTCCAAATGCTCCAAAACATCTTCGTGAGCTCCGTGAGACGCATAAATTTATACCGGATGGCACCATCGCCATATAGCATGGACTACGTGATCCCTACATCAAACGCATGGAGACTAAAGTAGAGGAGTCCCATCTCTAATAGGGGAATCAACGAAAAAACGACACCAGAAATGCGTCGAAAATAAGAAATTCACTATTTTGCCGATGTCGTCGCTGTTGTCAAGAACTAACCTATATATAGATATAGAAGCCATGTAGATTATATATATACATGTATATCTTTTCGCCCGGTACTCTCCCCACCATCGGCGGTTTCACTAGCGGAGTCAGCGCCGCAAGTGTCGTTTCGAGCAACCTCAATTTTAACAGCTTTTCGGTGTCATACCTTATGTACAGAGATGGGACTCCTCTACTCTAGTCTCCATGATCAAACACGTTGAAAAAAATGTTCGTTCGAACAGACAAAGAAGGACTGAGGTGGCAGCCAGTAGCTCTCCTTTTCTAATGCTCCCATTGGCTACGTTTTTTATATTCTCTTAACCAAAATACTAGTTTATGCTCCATCCCTATATTTCTATGCATATGTTTCCACCATGCATGGTTGAAATAGAGTTAACTAATCAAGTTAGCTTATGCCGCTCAAATCTCGTTTTTAATTGGTTAACTCTATTTCAACCCTACACGGTAGAAACATATGCTATGACCAGAATACAAACGCTTTAGAGTGCTAGCGGGTATAAATCCATGTACCTCGCGGATATCACGCATTTGCTATAATATACTCGACCAATCAGAAACGTGAGATTGGTTTCAGGGCTCCCCGCTCAAGTGGCGCGTCGACACCGAAATAAAACTAAGATCATGCAAATTTAATACTAACTACTATTATCAGTTATCACTATTATGAAAATTGGTCCATTTGGTTTAACAATTAGAGCAAACTATAGGAAATATTTTTGTTGAAAAATTCCATAAACAATACATAGAATTTAGATGAGTTATCATTCAGTAACCAAATTTGTTTAGCAGGTAATTAAGTGGGAAAATGAGAAAAACGTGGCTCTGATTTTCATGGTGTTATTATCAGCACATGGAAGTTCTCCTTTTGCATAGTTAGATATACGGAGTGTCAACAACGGTAAATAATAGAAGTGGATCCAACAAGGGCCGCGATGGGCACGCATTGGGCCATAGTGTATTAAACTTAAATTAATAATATTATATAATACAATCGAGTAATACAGTAATAATGGGTATTATTACAATATTGTAAAATATCACAACAATTAATATTTGTCTCGTGTCAAATGAACAAAAGACTGCTCCGTGCAATGGGTATACGCAGATTTGTTTAGGGGGGATCACACAGAATTTTTTACTTTAATCTATCTTATCATTTAATTTCGTTCGAAATCGCCTTACTTTACTAATCGATAAGACAACCATTGCACGGCATAGACACCCATTAGGTACCGCAGCAATAAAGGAAAAATATATATATAATTTTATATACAAAAGAGGAATCGCTCCGTATACTCCCAGGCATTTACCTTGTTGCTGTTGTTGTCTTAATATAATTCCTAAATAAATTAATTCTCATTCGAAAACGTCCACTGGTTTTAATTAACGACAATATCAACCCTCGCGTCATAAACAAAGAAAAACGCACGGATATTATTGTAAAAATAATTTAAAGCAGATGACGATAGTCATCGCAACTTTACCGTGACATTCTTTCACAAAATCCGTGCATACACGGTATGTCTGTGTATTTAACTTCCGCGCAGCTTTGATAATGCAATATTGTAGTACTGTAACTCATTAAGCGTACAGGAAGGCCGTGCGGTGACATATATACTTGCCCATTCTCCCTGTATCTCCTTTCAATAAATTAGGGCGAGAGAAATGAAAGATCCTAGCCTTTTTTCTTCAAAAATCGGTTTAACAATACTGTTGTTTATTTTCTCCGACAAGTGAAAATAGAACCGTTCGCCTATTCACGCCGTCATAAAATACAGCACGGGGATCGTCAGTCACAAACAAAAAGAAAAAGAAAGAAGCCAAGAATCCGGCGAACCCTCAACCCTTGAAAATAAAACAAATATATAGTAAACAAGGTTATCCCGTGAGGGGCTCATAATTCCTAGTGCGTCAATTCCATCTTCGTCTTATTTCTTCATAATTTCTTGCTATTGTTGTTTTATCCAGAAAGGTGATAAATGACCGGCGAAATAATGGCACTCAGGTATGGTTTGGAAGGTCGGCGCATGGTTGCACGATGATGCACAATACAGGATGTACCAAAAATCACCAGCCACAGTCCGACATACATAATGATTGTTATACCTGTATGGAATATTAACGCTTGATTTTACACAAGAGCGCCAATTAATCTTTATTCTTCGTTATCAGTCAAGAGTCACTATTTAAATATCCTATAATACTGATCTATAATAATAGCATTCGCAAATGACAAGCTATAGCAGAAAATAAAATCCTATCTGCGCCAACACGAACTATACTGCGTCTTTAATTGAAAGGTGCATCGGCCACGTTATTCACTGACATGGCGTGTGATTCGTGGCTCGTCCTGTACGTACAAAGCACGTTTGTAATATTTTTCCACGAAGTGGTTGACACTTTAAATAGTTTCTTGTCTTTTTCATAGAGTTTTCATTTCTTGTTTCTAATACAGGGCGAACAGGGGTTGGATTCGCGCACCACCCACGCACGCACGCATACATATTTCAGTCACGCATCCCTCTCACACAATCAGCCTCCACAATATATAATCGTAATCGACAGAGCAGTATAGTGTATTCGCCGTAATACGTAGAACTCGCATTTTTATAGAACACCAGCTATTTAACTACGTAACAATCACTACGCTGTATATACAAATTGCTAAAGAATAGCTGGATTGCACCAACCGTCGGAAAGATAGTCTTGAGAAAAAGCTCCGGTAGCATTGATGAAGATGATCAGACACAGCAACAAATATAGTCTCGGTTATTCGTATCTAATATTGTAGTCACTGATTCCGAGTGTTAGGAATCAAAACGAGACGGGGACGACACGAAGATCAAAGAATCGAGCCGAATCGCAAAGACAACGTGTAAGGAGGTAAGCGTTGGTGCAAGCGCAGCATTATTCTCTCTTGAATATATTAGTTAACACTTACGGACTCGAACGACAATTGTCGCAGCCAAATCCATTATAGTACAGCTATTATTGTTTCGTACTCGTCGTAATACCACTCTAAGTATTGACTAAAGCTCCTCAAGGCGGTAACACGGCAGGCTATGATGAGGTTATCTTGTGCTCCGTCGAACAATTGGAAGAGAGTAAAAAGCCCCATCTTGTCTTCTGTGTGTGTGTCTCTCCTTCTCTCTATCTCTCTCTCACTCGTTAAATAAACATTATTTCTCTCTCTCCGTTCACAATATGTCTCTCTTATATTAAGCTTTCTTTGTCCATCCTCTTCCCTAACTCTCCCTAACCTCCAGAGCCTCGCTTAACCATAACTCATACAATGCGTCGCTTATTTAAGTTATAACGAGCCTTTTAGTTTTCATTATACCTCTTTTTCGCTACGTGTAACTTGTGTGTGTTTTTTGTGTGTCTCTAAAATAAGTAAGCTTTCGGCTTCCTTTAGAAGATCCCGAAGATGCCTTTCTTAAACCTTGAGCTCTACGTACACTTCCTCCTGGTTTCTCTTCACTAACGGAGGAGCCACTGTTCCTTCATTTTCTTTAGTTCAGCATCGTCTTCGTCGTTACTACCGGGGCTCGCAGGTCTCATAGACGAGTTCCGGTACCAGAGCCAGAGAGAATGTCGTACCAGCGGCTGGACGTGTGTATTGCCGCCTGGACGTGTTCACTTCGTGTTACCTGTTATTCTCCTCCATAACGACCTGCTTGAATACACCTGCAGGCATTTGGCTCTTGACTTCGTGACTTCCTAGGGCCGTCGTACCATCCTTTCCAATGAACAGTTGTAATCCCGATGCTAAAACGAAAGGTGGAAAGTAATATTAATAAAATGGATATAAAAAATTATAACTATTGTCTCCCTTGTCACAATAGAACGTCTACTCACTTTCAGCACTTTCGAGGTCGGATTGCTCCAGATTTGTAGCCTTGAGTAGTTCATCGATAAGAGAGTCGGGATTCGGCCTGGTTACTTCGACCCTACAGAGAACTGTATTACCAGTACCATCCTCTGCCTTTTTTCTGCGCTCAAGAGCAGCCTTCGCCCTGTCCAAGGATCCCGTTTCGCTCAGTCCTGATCCTCCGGAGGGATTTCTACAGCGTTACAGATAGAGATATAAGTCCTGGCAGTCATTCAGTCGTTTCATAACGTAAAGAACACAGGTGAAAGAGTGACCGAGCGAGTGAGAGAAAGTGAGAGGGAGGAAGTGAACAGTGAATTCGAATTTAATTATCAGTAGTTCGTAAAACATTAGAACAGACAGTCAATGAAAATCAGTGCAAGATAGTGCTTCGTCCAGTTCAGTGGTCGCACTAATGCAAACCTGAAGTAAAACCAATAAGAATTATAACGAACCGTAATGAAAAGCAGTATGGTAGTAAAAACAAAATTACTAATCCAACGCAAAGAGTGATTGATGCAAATCCATAGAATTCAAAGAATACACATGCAATGAGTGCATGCACTAGTTCATAAGAAGTATGCACACAAAGGGTCACGACAAAAGGTAGTTTAGAGTTCAAGAGAAGTCAAAGCACACTTCTGTGTTTTCCACGAATCGATCAGCTTCCATGAAGCTTTCCATCGATTATAGCAGTGTTACATATACATGTAAATATTTTTCGTGCAAACATGGAAGCCTCTCGATTAAAATCAATTAAGCAACGTGATACAAGCTCGCTGGCAAGGATAATGAGAAAAAGCTGAGGCTACACTCAGAGGTAATAGCATAGTAGGACTTGGGACGAAAGTTAAGGAAAAAAAAATTCTCCAATCGAATAACTTTTTAAAGCAAATCCGAAATTGATTTAAAAAAACATTTATCGTGAAATACGAGAGGCAAGTATTTTTTTTCGTATGAAAAAAAAGACATATATGAAGTGACGTAATAGTTGACTTTCGTACAAAGCCCAGGGCGTTATATACGAGACACGAAAGCATGGACTGACGGTGGGGTTATGCTGTTTCGGCGCTGTGCAGTTGCAGGTGCGACTTCAGGTACTCCTAGCGAGGACTCTTCGGAGTCCGGGCTGGTTGCAACGGTAGCCAACTTGCCCCCAGCCCCATCCAGCAACTTACGATGACCTCCGCCAATTCCCCTGCAAGGATTCAAAGCCGTCCTAACTAGAGAAGCCGTCGAGCTAGTGAAATTTCGAGCTTTGCACGCGGACAAATCCAACTTCGTCCGAACGCCTCCACCATTTATGAAATCAATTAACACGTTCGCCGTGACACGCGAATCAGTCAACAATTTAAAGCTATGATTATTACGTGTACACGAAACTGTCTATACTATATTGACAAACATGTGTGTACACGCAGCGAACGTGTTAGTCCTGATACGCCTGACAGATATTAGAAAAACATACAGGTATATACCTGGTGTATTTATATATAAGAATTTCATTATTGGTGTTTCTGTGTAAAGTGTGACATTTTATTAAAGCGTGATTTCGTCAATACGCAGACGCAAATTAGCCATGAGTTATGTTAATGCACGCTCATGCAATTAGTTATTAGATGTGAGCGATTGAGGAAATTTTCAAGTCGCAGCATGTATCTGGTACTATGGAAAGTAAGGGAGATAAACAGCCGTGTAAAAGCTTAGCACGGGGGTCTCCCGACTATCGTGACCTCATATCCTATGCTTGTACCCCACTCTATAGAAGATCGATCAAACAGAGGGACGGAAACAAAAGCGACTGAAGGGATATGAGAAATCCAGGGACGAAATTAATCAAGACACACAAAAAAAAAGAAAGGCTATCCACCAGTAGATTCCATCGCGATACGAGGAGATACGACTGAGCTGCTGGTTAGAAAACTCGAACGGCTCGTACCGCTATAGAAACTGGTTAGACTCTCCATTAACACCGGATATCACGACCGCGTATTTCTGTGACATGCTGAAAAAAATTAGTGAGATGTCGAGGATCGATAGAAAATATTCAAAATTTATTAGAAACGGTCGTTATATCCGCAGAGAAACACACGAATGCGAGAAACTAGCAGTAAACACGGCAAACGAAGAAAGAGAGAGTAGAGTAGAGAGAAAAAAAGAAGAGAAAAAAAATAAAAATAAAAAAAAATGTTATTTTTGTCAAAAGTAAATAATGGACGTGTACTGTTTATGCATGTCTTTCTTTCTTTCTTTCTTTTTTTTTTTTTTTTTTTTTTTTTTTTTTTTTTTTTTTTTTTTTGAGAAACTCCATGATGAAGGACCTACCTGAGGGTCTGGCCCGCCGTCGCGGAGAGAAGCGAGGCTCTGGGAGTGTCAGGCCTATGAAGAGGATCTGGAGAGGATACTGCCCTAGCCTGATCGACGAGTCTCAAAACGGGACTGGTTTTGCCCTTCTCGATGCAGTCGCAGGTTTTGGAAATACCGCGCCAGGCCGCGTGACCCAGTTTCGGTCTCCACTGACCCGCGAGCTGCGTCGATTGGCCCTTATTGTCATCCCGGTTTGAATTAGCGCGCGAGTGCCGCAACTCCGCGGGACCGCCATCGATCTCGTCCTTGGATAGATTATTGTTCTCTTTAAGAGTGCCATTCGCGAGATCAGCGCAGTTAACGACGGCAATGTTCACGTTCACCGCTGCGGCACTCGAGGCTTCGCGAATCTTCCCCATGTCGTGCCTACGCGAGGATATGGGACTGGAGGTCGACCAGAAACGGTTACGTGGATTCATCAGGGTGAGGGAGGGTGAGGGTGGCGACATGGGATATTGACTGGTAGGTACACTGCTGCTACTATTCGTTGTGGTTCTCGTTACGTTGGTACTAGTTGATACGGATTCGGGTTTGGTTAGATTGGGCTGATGATTTTGGGAGGGAAGGGTTGGTAGGCGTGGTGCCCATACCGGCCAAGAGGGTGACCTATAAAGATCACAACACAAATATCGTTCAGCATGCAAAATCATAAAACATATATATTCCTTACGCTGAGTAATAATGCTCGAAAGAATACAGAGGATAGAGTATATAATGAATGTCAAAGTGATAGATTTCGCGATTTGCAAAAATATAAGAGAAACGACAAGAGTAATCGATATGTGAATGTATCGCTAATGGCAACATAATCATACAAGAGGGATGGGGTGGACTGAAAATAAGACTGAAAAAGAACATATAGTTAAAATATATATATATATATAGAGAGAGAGAAAGAGAGAGAGAGAGAGAGAGAGAGAGAGAGAGAGAGAGAGACAGAGAGAAAAAAAAGGAGCGAGAGAACTGAGCAAATATTTTCTTTTAGCTACCATCCGTGAGTATCGTCACAGTTCCGGTATATAAATATGCATCTTGGACTCGCAAATATTGCAAATCGACAAAGCGACTAGCATCCAGCCTCTGTGTTAGTTCGACGATCAAATGTGTAACGTTAGTATTGTTAGTAATTACGGTGAAGGTGTGTATTTATCATTTGTTCCATCCACTTTTCCTCACAATTATTAGTATCCTAAAGTATATAGTCGGTGTATGTACAGCGTCGCGAGGATAGCGATAGTACGGAGATAGTCATTAAAGCCGAAAAGAGATATTAATGTACAGAAATGTCTGGCAGAATCCAGTAAGTACCAGGGTTATCCCCGTCGACATTGTGTCTCTCTAACAATTTGATAAGACCAAAATGAGAGTCATTTTCCCTTTCCTTCCTTCTGTATGGCAAATCACCCGACTCTGCCTTCCATCTATTCTCACCTGATGTGTCCACTATCGCCGCTACTGCTCTGCCGACTGTGCTGACTGTGCGAGTTCAAGGATCCGTATCCTGATCCTTTGCTGAGCTGACTGGTATTGCTACTGTTGCGTGAATGACCCGATTCCGTGTGCGCTTCGGTCAGACACTCAACAGGAAGTGACGTAGGTACTATTTCGCTGAGTGTCATAGGATCATAAGTCTCCGTACCACTCAAGAGTTCTAAAAGGACAGAGCCAAATAAAAATTTCGTTATATCCTACACCAAGTGTAGAGAACCAAAGAATAATAATGGTAGTATCAATCATAGGATTTACCGGAGGAAAAGAGGGCAGGCCTCTTTTTCGGAAGACTTCCAAAACCGCTGCTGGCACTAGCTATACTTCCGGCCAAGGAACCACTAGATACATAATCGTCACGATTACTACATCTTTCCGAGCCTATCACTTCGTCACCTGTGACACCAGGTACACCAGGCACTCCAGGAACGGCTAGCTGAGTGTGCTTCAACGAGGGCGATGGTCTGAAAAGTCATGTTTCCATCAGACACCATTCACTGATTTCAATTATACCAGTAGTATAATTGAAACTCTTTAGGATTGTTTTAAGATCAATAGCATTAACATACACTTTGAACAGGATATCTCCAGACAGCATGTTCATCTTGATAGCTACCCTTAGCATGGAATTGTCCTGTCGATGCCTGGCGTCGTATCCTTCCAGTAGGCATCTTCTTCGACAAAGACCAGCCCCCGCGAATTCCGCCAGGTTCAGATCGGTAAAGCCGAGTTTTTGGAAGGACCTGCCTCCCTTTAGTTCCTGCAAACGATAGGAGCATGAGACATAGGTGGTAAGCGAAATCTGATACGTTGATCGATGAGTAATTCGATACCGCAATCTAAATTAACTTTTGGACTGCGGAGATTAATTAAGGCAATGATCTAATGCATAATCAGTAATAATACCGATGATACCTCGGGACCCCGATGACCACAAACCATGACATAATACAATTTGCAATCCGCGCCTATGTAACACGCATATTCTAAATTCAGCCGGATCATTTATATCAATTAATCACGAAGAGCAATTCCATGGGTCATGACGCACAGGAAAACTCGCGTGCGGATATCGAGCTGCTGGTATATAATATACGATTTCGTCGTTCGTATAAATTAATTAAATAACGTTGCCTAATGACCGGCTGGTAAGAGTTCCTGAAAACGTTTGACATTTCACATGCGCGATAACTCTCATGGAAAGTAGCCACTTAGGGGCAAAGTTTCCAAAAATTAATGAGCCTTGTAGTTGACATTAAAAAAAAATCACCGGCAAATCCGGTATTTCAAATACCCGATAAATAAATGTAGATATGCTAAACTTCGAAGTTACGTGTAAAAGTTAATTGGACGCTTTCGATACACAGTAGAAAGTAAAAAAAAATGTTATAAACAATCATTAAAAATTACCTTTCTCACGGATATCCTTAAAATGCAAGGATCCAGGACTCCGGTCGAAGCATTGGCACTCATCTTGCAGACAAACTCGAATTTTGCGTTCCACCTCACGGTGTGTTCTTGGACCTCTTCCCTGAAAGATTAAAAGAAGCCAAAATGTTAAAATGAATTTAGCAAGAAACCAGCCACCATTACATTAAGAATCCTTGATTGATTTTCCGCCTTTACTGTACATTGATATTATTGTTATTGGCATTGAGTAGAAGCAAATGATTCATCATAAAATTCGAAGACCTTGCCAAGGAAGTTTAATAATAAATCTACGTCAATGAATTATCGTCCCGGTTACATCCACTTCCGGCACGCTCGTTTCCGCCCATAATTAGTGTAAACGAAAAAAAAAAAAACTTTTTTTTTCTTCCTGAATTCAAAAATAAACTCCAAGCTCAATCAGATCTCTGTGACGGTAATTCCCTGGAAACAAATAGCCCAATTGTGGCTGGTGTGAGCGAGCTGGAACCTGGTGCCAGCACAACGCTAATGCCTTAACGAGATTAGGCATTAGATGAGAGCGACTTAGTCTGATTTCCTGCGATAGACTCGCGACAAGCATTTAGCAAGAACAGTCTATCCATTTTGAATATATCAAGTAGCTACTGCGAAACTAGAAAACGATAAGAGACTTGAATTTGCGTGGGCCTAGCGTAGGACTGCTTGTTACTCATCAAGCGATGACATTGTCGGTAACGTAGATAACGTAACTGGGTAACATAGAAACAAGATAGACATAATTATCGTTAAGAAATAATATTATGTAAAACAAGAAGATACAAAAATTAGGCCAATGACAAATATATGATTTATTGAATAGAGAGGAAAAAAGATATATTAATTGAAAGGCCATAATCGACTTTTAAAGAAGGACGTGTCCCAGCATCCTTTCCGGAGCTGATCGCACATCGTAACATCAATGAATTCAACTATCCATTGAATATAATAATACGTCGAGTGTATCCGGCTGCGCGGTAAAGATTATGGCCGACAGTCCCTGCCGTACCGACTTATCAGGACGTAAACCAACAAGGAACGTTTCATCTCGAGTAATATTTTCGAGACGTAATAGCGGCGCAGCAGTTTCATTATACTTGGAAAAAAGTTCTCGATAATAATCGAGCTCGGGCCGATTTCTGAGAAGGATTCCTTCGAGTGTTCTCTCAATACTCCCGCAGGATGTCCTGGTTAAGCGGCTTGTGAGAGGCATTAATGAAATCACACTAGCGTACGAACGTAGGAGGACACCCGGGTCAATTATTTCACCGCGGAAGCTTCGGGCGCGATACGTCAGTTTTACAGTACGGAACAGGGGTGGCTGAGAAAGCATTGTCTACCCGAGACAAGCCAATTACCGTGGAAACCAGGCCACGGGTAGCACCGAGCAAACCGAATCCGGTTCGTTTCATACACAGTGGACTCAAACGCCACTGTTGGATTTTCGTTGGACTATGACAAAAAAAAATCATTAACGACTAACACGGAAATGATCCGAGCTACGATAAGAATGCGTAAACAAGAAACGCCTTCGTTTAGATATTATTTTACTTTTGAACGATATAGGGTGGTTTATGAGTGTCGCCATTACGAAAGGTTTAAGTACGACTACAACGTTTAGTTACGAACTGTCGCTTAGCAACGTATTCAAAACAAAACGTTTCTGCTATCTCTTCGTCTTGGCGAGGAAGACACAAAATTTGTATCGACTTAATGCAGGCCCTTTCACATGAATCGAGAAAGAATGAAATCGTCTTTGAATCGCGTATTCCTGGGCTGTCGTCTATGGATCTGTCATCTACGTCATCTAAATAAAGAAAAGATTTTGCCTGAATACATATGCACGGGTCAGTCTGGAGTTTAGCGAGATTCTAGGTATACAGGACTTTAGGACGATATGCGCCACGTAAAGTAGCGATGATCTGATGAAGAGAGAGAAAAGGAAAAGGCAGACGCACAATGATCTCGCAGTCTCTCCCGTAAGAGTGAGAGTCGCTCGGATCGTCGGAGACGAATGAGAGATGGCCACTGCAGTGCCGGAGGAGAGTTCTCGCCCGTTTTAGCGAGTCGTTCCACTGCTCCAAATATGTCGGTCGTGTTGGCAAAGACTCGATTCTCATACGCGAGAAAATGCAGGCTTGCTATATACATTATACATATATACAAAGTGCAGCAATCACAGTACGATTCTTTCACAAGCTATCAATTCGTAAAGGACGATATAAAATCCATTTAATTAAAAACTTGTATGGAAATCCAAAAACTTTAATAATTAGTTGCAGCCAATGTTCAAATCAAGTTCGCACACATTCGAATTTCACGATACAGTAACAAGACTATCCTATCATCCATTTAGTGATAGTCCCTATGACCTTTGGCGATGAGAATTATTTGAACCTTTATTTTTGCACTTTTTTTTCACCGAGCGCTGAGTATATTAAGACTTGCGTGTTATACCGACGTCGTTTAAGGGATCATCACAGTGTGACCGCCCGAAAAATAGCCGATTTTCTCAATTTTTTTTTAGGTGGATGGAATAAGGTAATCGGTCTAATTTTTTTTTACAAATTGAAGCACCTATGAAATATACAAAATGATTTTTAAAAAATTTCTTTATGTATTGTTTAAGGTTGTTTTTATTTGTGGAAAATTGAATGGAAAAAAAATGGTGTTCCATGGTGGCCAGGATTGCGGGCGCAAATTTTACCTCAAACAAAAATTTCAAATGGTTTATAAATCTGTAGGAAAGCCGCTATGCTCCTATGGAGGCTTTTTTGTTTTTAGTGAAATTTGAAAAAATGGCGTCGGTTTGAACAAAACGTATAAAATTTAGCCTTTTTCCGAGTTTTTCGTAAAAAAAAAATAGGATGATTTCAAAATAAAGAAACAAGCTTTCATAGCAACATAAGAAATGACGTGAAGAATGTTCTGTTAAAATTTCAAATGGATAGCTAGAAAATTCTTCCTTCGGAGTGGCCACCGTTTTGAAAAACACCATTCCGAGAAAAACGCGTTTAAAGATCGGAGTGCGCCAGGTCTGACCGTCCAATCCCTTTTTCTAAGAAAGGCTGTAGCGACCGAAATAATTCGAATTTCGACATAAAAATCGGAGAGAATGTTTATAACCGTGCATACTATCAGATAATGAAAAGAAAAAAAAAAATCGATTTTTTGAAAATTGTACACTGTGATGATCCCTTAAGTGAACTAAATACGGGTAGTTTCAGAAATCTTTCTTTCCCTCCTTATACCCGCAGGCATTCTCGACTGCAAGATGAACTCTTTAGAAGCGACTATAATAATAGAATTAAAAAGCGTGTGTGAAATAGGGTAAAATGGCGGTTCGGTTGTACCGACGGGACAAATGCTAAAAATGGATCTTTTTTTTTACATGCGAGATTACATCTGGAAACCACGGAGCAATCAGTTTACGTGCAAGTCGCGTATTCAGGCTGCAAAGTGTTTTTCCACACGTGGCGACAATTGCATGGGTGACATTTGCTAAATGGAGATCAGCGTTCTCGTAGATGTTAGGTAAACTTGAGTAAAAAGTGAACGGGCGTAACCTGAAAATTTACAAGGAAAATGCATAAGCCGGGATTACGGGCAGTAGGCAAACAGACGGTAAACTTTAATCTGTAGTCTCTAATGAAATTTCCAGTCGTGGTTTAATAAAGCTAAGAGATTAATAAATCTTGGCGATATCGCGTGGGCCTGGAAACCCACCCTTATCTGCTCTGGGTATTATACCGTAAGAGTCAAGTCAACTCGTATTACCTGACCAGGTCGATAATCGTGTTCTTTTACGATGCCCCATTACTAAATGGCAGAACTCGATTCAAATATACTATATGTAGGTACAGTCGATTCATCGAAAAAAAAAAAATAAGTACGCGTCAAGATATCCCAGAATGCAATGAAAACGTATTATTCTTACTTTCGAAAAATTCACAACTCTCGTTTCTCATTTTTATACATAGCTCCCCTCTGCTTGATTTTTCCGACCCTCCGAAGCCCCGTTGGAAGCTATTACAAAACTAAATGACACACTATTCCGTGAAACAGCCTTGAAACAGCCTTGCCCACGGCTACGCATTTTATCCACGTAGCAGACAGATAGCCACGTAGCACGCATAGAGCAGATTGTGTAACGGGCATTACGAAAAAAAAAATATATTTATTCTCGACGACCAATTTCATTGGTTAACAATGACGTATATATCTGCCGTTTGAACTTCTGATTAACGCGTCGATAGCTAAAAATCAATTTGGAATCTGTCTACGTTACAGCTATATGTATCTTTATTATCTTATAAGATTATCACGAAGCCGCCTTGTTTTTCGCACTGTCAATCCAGAGCTTAAACCGTTCACCATGTTAGGTATAGTATCCATAGTAATAGCCCATGCGCACAATGAAGGTAACTGTAAACCAAACCAGCGTGACGTGTCAAGAATTTATCGATAGGAAGAATTGACCACTGCATCACGAGCAGACTCAGCTATATGTATAGCTCGTGGAATATCCGAAAATTGATTAAAGAGAAGTAAAATATACAAAAAAATTGACATTTTCACGTTATACAAAAGACTACTGTAAGAATGGCATAAATTTCGCAGCCTCTTATGACGTAAGCTCTTCAATCAATTGAAATTTCAAATTAATCATCGACGTGAACCTTGACCTTGAACTTTCGTTATCATTTGTCCTGCCTCCGTAAATTCTATTTAGCAGGTCGCAACGCCTACGCGGGATCATTAAAACAGTATATATAGTACGTGTGGCGAATATGTAAAGAAGGATATTTTCCTTAAACGTCTTTGTTCCACTCGAGACACGCGTAAGCGACTGTAATTTTTATTAGTCGTTTATCTGACATTATACCTCTACCACCGCCATATGGAACTAGAGATGAAACACAGAATCTAAACGTCACTGGGCGGATCCGTATAGAATAGTAAATAGACACATTCTTGTCGACTAATTAAGTATACAGTTTTTTCAAAGTTAACATAACACAGCTTACAGGTCTATACTATATGTATATATTTACTTACACGTGCTCACACGTGTACATAAGAAAC